AATTATGGTGGTACTAAAATGATTGATAGATGAATTAATTTTAAGTTAGAGGACAGTACACAATTTTCAATATAATATGGAGAACCGGCAAACGTAACACATGAAGACCCTTGCGAATGTATTAAACTACCTTCTGGTATTTCAAACAGCAGAAGAAAATTAAACAAAAAGTGTACAGCATTTTTATTATTTAAAAGTTTCGTGATTTATTGAGGAACTTTTGTACGGCCCTGGATCAATACGTGCATACAGACCACATGCGAATACGCGGACACTATCGTAACCTAGTCCACCATGAAATTATGGTAACGTTACGTCAATTCCGTGAGGACGGCTCAAGAACATTAAATGGTATTGGTTATAGAAGGATAGGTTATAAAAAATGTCCAAGCAGTTTCGATTTAATGGTAAATTTGGTAGAGGACGCGTCGTTGAAAGAAGAATGAACACTACTGCAGCTACGACTAGAACAAACGCTGGAGAACACAGGAAAAGCAGAAAAATGTGACAGTATCAGTTATCGTAGACGTCGAGTTCAGTGGTAACGTCTTGTTGAATTAAAAGAGCTTGGGAAAATCTAAAATGTTTTCGATGCAACCAAGTGCAGTGTCTCGAAAATGTCTTCTAGGAACATCGTTTTGGACTTTCTTAAAATTATTAAGCAAAACAAAGAATTTTGTTGTCATTTATTGAAAAATGTTTATAAATTAAGTATAGTTTATAAATTATTTATGTATCAGATAGAAACAAGAAAATATTCTTAGTTACAAACAATTAATATTTTGCTCTTTTCTCTTTTCTGAGACAATATATGGGAATATGAACGTATCTGGTTTTATTCTATTCGAAACTCGCGCCAGTATGCATGTTACAGCAGGTATAAGGCTGCTATATTGCATCCAATAAAATATTTTTCATTTATAAACGGTGAAAGACATTAATAACATACTTCTTTTTTCTCAAAAACGGTCAAATTTTTTTCTCTTGTAACTTCCTAAATTACTAACTTCCCAAATTTTCAAATTTAATAATTTAGAAACTTAGAATGTCCTGAATGTAGGATTTTGGGAATTTAGAAATATGTGGATTTAAGAACTTAGATATTTAATAATTTAGAAAATGAGGAATTCACGAATTTGGCAATTTGCAAAATTGTTAACTCATCAAAATAGTAATGTTTTATTCTTCAGTTTATAAATGGGAGAATTTAAAAGGTTAGGGTAGCATAAATGATAAAATTCAAAAGGTAAAAAATTTCAGTATTCATAGTATGATTTATGCGTGGTATGTTACAGTGAGATAAGGGGAAACAGTCCACCGGTATTTTTGGCCGCATTTTCTTTGTGTCTGGTAGTAAACGAATTACTTCCTATAACTCGAAGATGTGTTCGCCGTGGAAGGAAAAACAGCAAAGACAAATAGGTATGCTGGTGGTTGTTCCGTTATGGCTCGGTAGAGTGGGTAAATAGCGCTGGTAGGCGAAAGACAGAGGCGGATCTTGAATCTTTTTTGGAGATATTCCGTAAACGGGTGCAATGGCGAATTTAAGGTATTTGTGAGAGGAGAAAGACAATTAACTGTGAAACATAGAAATTTGGAACTTTTATGAAAATGTAATAAGTTTACTATTGAAAGCAAACATTTCACTTTCTCTCGGGTAAATGATTTAATTTGGAATTATTGTTTAATGTTTAATTAATTTATATGGAAATTACTACGTAGTATTTAATATTTAATTCATTTATGTGTCGTGATATGTTTGTTCAAGGTTTAATTAATTTACTTGTTATATGTACGTGTTGTGTAATGTTCAGTATAATTGTTTATGTTAGTGTATATATTGTTTTTATTCAATTGATTGTATATATTAGTTAATATATATTTTGTAATATTTAAGTAACTGTATATGTTATTTTATATATACTGTTTACTGTTTAATTAACTGTACATTTTTATACATATATATTATTTTTATTTAATTAATTGTATATGTTTATCAGTATATATTGTTTAATATTTAATTAATTACATATGTTACTCCATATGTACTATTTTCTGTTCAATTAATTCTATATATTAAACAGCATGTATTACTTTATACTTAAATAATTTATAAGTTGATATACATTTATTCTTTAAACTTTAAATAATTAATATACCAAATTAATCACATTTTGCCTGTAAAAAGAAATTTGTTGGAACATGATTTACCAATTTACAAACCTCATTAAAATCTGAGGAGAACACTCCAGATAGTTTCTTTGTGAGATCAAAGTTTGCTAATTTAAAGCTATACATATAGATTTTTTAGCTACAAAAAATGGAGTTATAGTAAGTTTACGAACTCGCAAGTTGCAAGATTTAAAAACTTCTATAAGGCGGAAACCACGTAGAAGCACATGCTTGCGTATTTGATTAATTGTTGATCTTAAAAACAAAAAATAGAAATTTGATCAATTTTTAACGTTGTAATTATGTATTCAAATATCTGATATGTATAATTAAATATGTAATATTATAATATATATTATTCTATTAATATACATATTTAATCTACATTATTTTATGCAGTTAATTTCAGCTACATGTTTAAATTAATCATTGCTAAATATTATATAATATCAATAAAACAATTATTACTTAATTTTTATATTGACCTCACTATTTAAATGTGATGTTTATTTTAAGTGTAGCTTAAGTTAATTCATTTAATTAATATATTTTAATTTGTTATTATAATAATTATTATAACTATAATAATTATAAAAATATAATAATTTATTTTAGTTGATTTTAGTTTTATTTCAGTTTGTTTTAATTAATTTAGTATTATCAACAAACGATTTAAATAAATGTGTTAAAAGCTTCATTTGAAAGCTTGAGATTCAATTACATTTTCTTGAATTTTTTTCAAGAAGAACAAACAACAAGATATCTTCAGTTCAGAACTTTTTAATTTATAACTTGTGGAAGTTATAATTTATGTCATAACAGCATTTCACTTTTATTATTTAGGATTGAAATCTAAGAAAACTTTTCTATTTCTTATTACTTATTTTTTTATTTGAATAAGAATTGTGAGATTGTTTTTAATGACTGAGAGTTATTTTTAGGTTAAAGTTAGAATATTTTGTAAAAGGTGTACTGTTAGGAATCAATTTTTTGTTAAAAAAAAGGACGATTAATTTCTTATTATTGGTAAAGATAGATATCGAACGCAATATTTCATTCTTGACAACCAGACAAATGTAGCGCTCACCGTTTATTATATATTGCCACCATTTATATTGCCGGCTGACTGGGTTTTCTTTACGTAGCATTTCATGTACGCTGGCAGAGCATACACCATTATCGCAGCTTACGAAAACTCGCGATTTTCTTAAATTTAAAAATTTAGAATTTTATAAATAATTGAAACTTCAAATTTATATACTTTTAAATTCAGAAATTTTTAAATTATACAAGTTTTTAAATTATAAAATTTGCCATTTTTTACGATTCTAAAATTCTAGACGTTCAGTTTCTAAATTTTTTAAATTTCAATTTTTCAAAATAAAGAATTTATAAGTTTTCAATTGCATAAATTAAAAATAAAGAAATCATCAGATTTTCGAATTTCAAAATTAAGATATTAATTTTGCAAATAAAAAATTTAGAGATTTGTAAGTTTCTGATTGCTAAACTTAGAAATGAAAGGATTGATTCAATTCGAATTATCAAAAATTACAAATTCTCAAAATTATTTCAGACATTTTTTAAATTTTCAAATTTACAAATTCATAATCTTCAACTTTTCAATTAAGGAATTAAAAAATCTAGAAATATTTTAAATTCAAAAATTTAGGACATCATAAACTTGTAAATTTTCGAATTTTTAATTTCCCAAATTTTTTAACATAAATTGTATAAATTTACAAATTTTATTTTTGTCAAGTTAAGTAATTGATCAATTGTCCCACATAAAAATTTGTAAATTCATTAATTATTAAATTTAGAAACTTACTAATGTATAGATTAAAAAATAAAAAAATTTCGTACTTTTACAAGTTTCAAACTTCATAAACTTTTCAAAATCTAAAAAAATTTCCCGATCTCCAATTTTCAACTTTCTGACTTTCCAAAATTTGTAAATTCTCAAATTTCTAAAAAAACAAGTTAGTTCCTAAATATCTCAATTTGCAAATTTGCAAATCTTCAATATTTGCCGCTTTATAGTTTTAGTAGTATACAACTATCTAAATTTATAAATTTTGAAATTTGTAAGTAGTCAAACACATGCAAGAATCTTTCTACATTGCCAATCGCTACACTCAACTTTGGCAATATAACTAGCGGCAAGCGTTTCCATCCATTCCTTTGCTCCATCGAGTCATAAAATATGCGATATTAAAATTCCTGGGAACTGATTTTTCGAACAAAACTTCAGTTATCCGCATACTTTTTACCGACAACTTCAACGCAGGAGTGTCAAAATTTATGCGAAATTCTCCGTTCTGTCTGCAGAGACTCGGTTTGGATCAGTGGAAGATAATTGAATTTTACGAGTAGGACAATGACCTCAAACTTCGTAGTCCTCTTTGCACACAATGAATGGGAGGACGAAAATGGCATTAATATCTCAGTCTAATTATCACGATCACCAAATACCAATTCATTTTCAAGCAGTCAAAGATAAAACTCCGAAGAAGAAAACATACAAAGAACGATTTATTTGTCCTTCATCTCAACACGCTGTGTACCAAAAGCCATCCCTTAAAAATACAAGCATCTATAAACAACAGTGAGTATAATTCTTCCAAACAATTGCATGAAAACTAAAATTATAATAACTACAAATTAGATCATTAATCAAATTTCTAATATTGAACGTGATTTAGTTTGAATTTAGATTTAACTTCGATTCGAAACAAGGACATTGACAAGGCGTGTACAAAAAACAGCTAAGAGCACGAGTTTCCGGTGTTCGCGTTCCTCCATATTCGAGTCATCAGGATACGAACGTTGTATTTACTATTTGCCATCGTTCGGAAACGGTCCGGTTTCCACCGAGGAGCAGCAAGCATGAACACAGTCACTACAGGCGAAAATAACGAAAGAAACGGGCAACCACTATAAAATACGAGGGTTTCTTTGGACGTGAACGTACGCAGCTTGTCCAGGATACCCACGTCGTTGCTGACGTTGACGACGTGTTCTCTCTCTCTCCCGTGATCGTTTCAGAAAAGGGGTATGGAGAAAAGAGGAGAACTCGCTCTCTTTTTTTCTCTATTTCCCACACCCCTTCCCTCTCTCTTTCGCGCGCACACCGTTCTTTCGTTGCTCCGTAGCTCGTTCTTTGTCACTGATACGCGAGAAGCAACATAGCGAGGACGTCATCGACGGAAGGGCCTCGAACGAGACGAAAACGACCCCGGGATCGAGCGCGTCCACACCGGCTGCTAGCACGGGCCAGACTGAACTCACTACCGTTGCCGATCGGGCTCTTATACTCGGGGACGGTCGTGCGCATGCGCCGATCGAGCTACCAGCCACCTAGGGTTGGGCCGATGCTACGTTTCGAAAAAGAGGTGTTGATCCTCTCCTCTCGACCGATCGACTTTTCATCGGGAGATGAGCCACCGAAAACATCACTCGATAACTTTTCTTACTCCCTATTCTTCGTAGTCTTTTTCATCCGACGTTAATGTCTAGTGCTTGAACAATTGGAGAAGCAGTTAAGATCATTCCTTTTCTGTGTAGACACTGTTACAACTAAACATATTTATATAGTTATAAAAAACAATCAAATTTCTACTTTTTTATGAAATAAGAATCTACAAAAATTCATTACAGTTCTAAATCTGTAGTTCATTTCGAATACATAATTCAAAATTGTAAAAATTCATTTATAGTCTGAAAGTGTCTTTATAGCTCAGTAATTAAATAATTGACATTTACTACTCAGTTATCACTGTCTCAAATATTGCTTATTATCTTGTTTTCATTTTTTTATAGAATTTCATTATATTCACATATTATATTCATTTCATTATAGTCTGAAAGTGTTCTCATAGTTCAGCAATTAAATAATTATGACATTTACTATTCAGTTATCACCGTCCCAAATATTGCTTATTATCTTATTTTCATTTTATTAAATTACTTCAGTTATTTAATAAGAAGAAAAAATTGGAAAATGTCTCAATGGCCAAACGACTCAGGAAACAATTAAAATAATTACAATTTCTTTTATACTTAGACAGTGATAACTACGAAAGTATACGAAACTGCAATTTCTACTTTCAGATGAGATAAAAAGAATGTACATTTGTGAAGGAAAAAGTAATTAATTGTAGTCTGAAAATGTGGCTCAGTAATGAAATATTCATGACATGTCCTTGTCATTAATTACTGCTATCTCAATAATTAAATATTAATTTAATTTTATATTCAGTTTGCTGATTTAAGTATTAAAAAATATTACTGCTCCGTAATTTATTTTTAATTACTGCTATCTCAATAATTAAATATTAATTTAATTGTTATTTTATATTCAGTTTGCTGACTCGAATATTAAAAAATATTACTGTTCCGTAATTTATTTTTAATTTACTGTTAATTTAGTAGATTAAAAATAAATTAATTTAAATATTAAATATTACTGTCTCATATATTAATTTAATTCTTACCATTTAACAAAAGAAAATGAGGATGTTTTGTGGAATGAAACTATTTTACTTATAATAAATTCGTTTAATCAGTCTCAATGGGCTTTCTCTTCAATTAATTTTGGTAGATAAAACTTTTCAGTGGCAGCTTGTAATAAAGTACCGCTTTTAAAGGTGTTTACTGCTGCATAAACATCTTTTTGTGTGTAATCTTCTTTGGTTTTTTTCTGTCAGCTTTCTGATGAGTTTATGTGACTAATGTAAAAGAATGATTAAAAATATATTATAAAATTTTAGATTATTTTGATGTTATGACAAGAATAGGCAGAATTATATTTTTGTGTACTTTTTATTAACATAAATGTATGGAATACAAAACGTGCAATAATACAATGAATATTAATAATGTAATGAATTCAGTGAGGCTGATTTGTTTAATAGTTCAATCTCGCATGAAATTCATTTCAATATTTGAACAAAATTAATAAGAAATAAGATTAATTGGAATCTTCTATTATTTAATGAATCTAAAACGACGCTACCTAAAAAATTATATAAAATTACAACTTTAACAAAAAATCGGTTACTTGAGTTATGAAATCAATTTAAAAACATTGAATCTTGAAGTACACAATAATATTTTCATGTGCTATAGAATTATAAAAACTTATAATTTATCTATGTAAAGCTAACACATTTTGATTAGTTTAAACGTTAAAAAAAAGCAGAAATATTATTAACATAATTCCCACAATTGTAAATTACCAGACTCGTTCGAGCATTAGAACATTCGGTTTACGTTTTATTCGTACGATCAAGGCGCCGCCATTACACTTGCCGAGCACCAAACGTCCTAGAAATTGCAACAGTTGCCTTATACATATTATATTCGAAATGGAACGAACTTGTAAACTGAAATTGTAGGAGTTAATATTAAGACAGCATGATCCGATTAATGCCAGTTTTAGTGAAATTGTAAACGAGCATCAAAGATCAATTTGTAGAAGTATCGAAGATCAATTTATACGAGTTGATCTACATATAATAAGCTGCGGTTTAGTTTGACGCGATTCGACTCGATGGAATTTGAATCGACTAGATTCGCTGCAATTCGAATCGACTCGGTATAATGTATCTTAATTCGATGCGATTCCGATGATTAATGCGATGCGTGATTTAATTCGGTGCAAAACTTTGAGATCGTCGTAAATTCAATGTGATTCAATTTGACTAGACTCAGTTCTTTTCAATTTGTTTCAACGCCACCTCCACGCACTTCAATTCAATTCGACATTATTCATTTTTTATTTTATACATTTCTATAAACTTGGTATTTTATACATTAAAAATAAATGTATTTACGATTAGAAGAATGCTTGTAGAACTACAAAGAAAAATGCAAACGTAAAAGGGGATTGAAATAAAAAGGAATGAGAAGGAACGTGACAATACGATCCCGTACGATCCAGATTACGAATATCGAACGTTGCCATTGTGCTAACAGCATAAAGTATTCTGTCATTATTGTTACACAAATGAAATTGGATTGAATGCTATACCAAGGAAACAATGCCCGATACACATTAGTCGAGAAATTATAGCGTAATTTCAAACATACAATATTAATTTCATCAGATAATCAGCATGCTTGCCATGTCACATCAAAGCTCGATAAAATGAGCATTAATTATTATAATCCGACGCAAATTATCATTTTTCAAATCATAAAAAGTGATCACTGAACCCAGAAATCAAGTGGGTAAAGAAATTTTTAAAGACAAACTACACTTTTAAAATTATATTGAATTATCATTATGTCTGAATTTTTTAATTGTATGTACAATTTTTAAAATTCCTCCATTTTCGCTGTAGCGTAATTTAATACTATTACGTGGAACTGAAAAGCAAAAAGCAAAAATACAGACTGTTATTGTCTACAGTTCAAACGTTACACACTTCTTTTTATTACTGTACATTTTCATATCTCTCCATGTTATTGTATTTTTGTTATATATTATGTATTCATTAATACGAATGATTAAAAGTTATTGAAAATTGCAATGGCGATCGTGCACGTATTTACATAATGACTGTATGGTAGTTATTTATATCATTGCAGTAATTATTATAATTATTATCCGTTCATTTATTTGCGAAGTGTAAGCAATAATTTTTCATGCCATGATTCGTATTGGACAAAAGTTGCTTAGTTGTAAGGATAAAGTAGGAAAACCGAGGCTAGTAATTACGCGCTGAAGGAAGAAGTAATTGAGAGCAGAGAAGTATTATTTCTGGTAATCAATCATTTTACCACATTCTAGTCTTTATATATCTACATTATAAGATAGTATTTCAAAACAATGTGGAGTAGGAAAGGGTTGAGGAATAAGAACCGACCGTAGTAAATCTTTTTACTGTAATCTGCGTCAGTGTGGATGAAAATCAAATTAAGACGAAATGATTCGAAGAGGAAGTATAACGTATTTAAGACGAAGCAAAAATTATAGCTTAATGGGAGCAAATAAAACTGCATAATTTTGTGGAGATAATAAAAAATTTTATATTTCAAACGCTGGGTAATAATGAAAACGGTGAAGCTTTTGGGTAATTGAAAAATGTACAGAAACGACTTTACGGTGGAAATAATTTGAAAGAGGTATTCACGTCATCCCTTTATGAAGTTAGAGAAGTAGACAAAATTTTCTCTTGTGATCTAATCGGGCAGAGAAATCACTCCATAAGAATAATCGGGTTAATGTTAATTCTAAGTCTTAAAATTGACTTGGAGTAACCATGCATGTAACTTTAGGGGTCATAATCGGCACAGCCGCAGTGTATCCACGTTTCATACGTCAAACGCCGCATTTGCTCTTCTCTTCTTCGGATATTAGCTGTTATCCACCGAACAAAAGCATCGATACGCTTTGGAATATTCAAAGTACGTTAATCTTCGATGTTCCGAATTAGTAACATGGCATCGAAACCTAACATTTCACGTCACATTTTGTATTCTCAAAGTGTTCGCAAAATTGACGCGAGAACTATAGAATTAATATGCAGGTGAGGAAATTGAACGATGTACTCTGAAGTTCTCGCGTATTTTAACCGTGATTGCAAAGATTGAATACTGAATGGAAAACTTTAGCAAATCGACGTTTCACGTTCTTTGCGGATGGGGTCGAAAATATAAAAATTGCGGTTCGTCCACGAATGTTATTGGTTAATAGATTTTTCCTTCCCAATGTTTGCTGTATTACAAAGTGAATAGCGTTAGCAGATTTTTCGATACCTCCGTATTCCAAATTACCGACAGTATCTCGAATACACTGCACTTCCTGCAATAAAGTTAACGTGTGACTTGAATGTACCTATCGTTAATAAAATGTTAGCTTAAATGTATACACTGTATACGCTATTGTATATTTCTT